TCATCTCCCATTGTTCTATTAACTAAGATTTTTGATTTTGATTTTTTTTTAAATTATTCGAAAATGTCGGATTTTTGTAGGAAACTGTATTTTTGTCTCTAATAGGTGGTGAGCTTGCCTCAAAATTAAAATACACATGTCCATTGTCGTTTATTTTCTCAGGAATTAAATATTCCATGGTGGTTGATAAGTGTGTTTTCCACACTTATTTAGGTTACAAAACATGGATAATTATTTATAAATATGTTAAAACGTGACTTAATTCTATATAAATTATGTTTTGCAGGACAACATCAATGAATATGGTGGAATTGAGGAAAAAGAAGCAAAAAATGACCAAAATGAAAGAAACAAAAGTTTGGGGATCAAAGTGCAAATAGTCAAAAGATGATTCAGAAGAGAAAATAAATATGCAAAAGATTTGAAGGCCAATTTATAGAAGACATGAAGCATTGAAGAAAAAGAGATCAAAAAACGAGAAAATGAAATTGGGGGACTAAAATGCAACATTTGAAAGTTAATATAACTGGGCGACTGCCCAATTATATAGGCCGGGTGACTGCCCAACCACGAAGAACAAATACTAAAGCTCAAAGTTTAGCACGGGCGATTGCTCGATTTTTGCCTTGGCAACTGTCCAGGTCAATCACGGCAAAAAAAAATTCTAGTTTCCTTATCTTATTGAAATTTTTATGGAAACAAATCTTGTGATGTCTTTTAAAATCCTAGGGATGTCCATAAGGAAGAAGGCACGCATTCTAACACATTAATAAGGGTTTTAGAGTATAGAAAGAGGTAAGAAAAATGAAAATTGACCGCAAGACCCAAAGAGTCAATTCAAGATTTAAAATGGTGATATCATTTCTTCAATATTCATTTTGGTTTCTTCTTTCCACAATACTAGACTAGATTTGCTTTTGCTAAGAGAACAATGAACCATATGATACGACTTTTTCAATATTTAGTTTTACATTTTTGACACTAAAACACATTTTTGGAATTTGAACGGTTTATATGAATTTCTTTTCTCCACAATTATTGCACACATGATTATGTGAGTTTGGTGGTTTGTTTCATGAATTCGAAAGAAGACAAATAGGCCCGACATGGTATAAATCCTCTAGGGTCTGATAGGGCTTATAATCTATGTGAATATTTAATTATTCATAAAAATTCATGCATTCTTATATATTTATATCCGTCATAAAAATATAGTCGGATCGTATATGAAAATATGTTCAACATTACTCAAGAGAGATTGTTGAATAAAATAGGAACATTAATTCGTCAAAATTCAACTATGTTGTCAAAGTGTAAAACTAAGTCTGAAAGCGATTATTGCATGGGTATTCGCAATCCTATTACATTTGTCACTTATTAGACGCATCATTCGCATCAAGCATAAATTGCATTTAGTTTAGTTAATTCATTCATTATTGCATACGTAACTTACTTTAATTATACTTTTCTCACGAAAAACACTGTCATTATTCTTGTTTCGGTTGAGGTCATGATAATATAAATTGAATTAAATCAATCATTGTGGGACAATATTTGAACTTAAAATCTACTTTATTACTTATTAATGAACAGTACACTTGCGAAATTTTAAATTGAAATATATTTTCATGAACAAGTTTTTTGGTGCTATTGTCGGAGATTGTGTATTTTAGTTTAATTTCATTTATCTTGGCACTAATTCAATTTTTTTCTTTTTTCTTTTATTTAATTTATTTTTCTTTATCAAGTTATTTAGTGCTTCTATTGTCTCTTTCAAGTATTTTATGCGAAATTTGGGAGACGGTGATCTAATATTAGTTGATTCGAAAATAAAAGTACTTTTCACAGTAAACAAAGAAAAGTAAGAGAAACACAACAACAAGTGATGGTTAATGCACAAAATAATCTGATTATTCAAGTGACTGAAGGGATAGTGGTCGATGAAGGGAACATGCTAGTTTGGCAGTGTTTGAGTTGTTTTAATAAATGTCATACAAATTCATTACATGTTAAACCATCCTCTAATATTGAAATTTGTTCATGTTAATGAAGTTGCAGATAGATTTCGAACTCTATACACTAAGGATCCGTTTGATTGTAAAGGTGAAAAAGGCAAACCAATTTCATGTAAGTTTAAAAAGAAAAAAAATCACTAAAACCATAGGAATGCATTTTCCATGGATTTGGCAAAAAACATGCTTTAAGTGTTTGTACTTTGGAATTCGAACTCTATTTTCATTTTCATATCAAACAGCGAAAGTAAAAAAACAAATTTTTCAGATGTGACATGTTTCATGACATTCGCTCCAATCAAACGGACCCTAAGAGTGCCCGAAAAAGATGGAAGAATAGTATATACAATACGACTTCATTGACTCAGACAACTATTTGTTGCTTTTGGACTTATAATTTGTCATATTATTCTAAAGTTGATCATGACGTGTACGTGAAACAACTTATTTTATATCTATTTAGTTCACGTTCATGTATGAAAAGACATTTTATTGTGTAGCGGGTCGAACTATCTAAATATCATTTGTAAGAAATTGTTTGTAAACATGCTAGATGATCAACTATACTCCCACTAAATTTCCTTTTCCCAAGTTGGATGCATTTCTAACCAATTATCTCAATCACTGAACTATGAAGTCGATGATATTTTCAAATACATGGTTCCTTACAAAGAAGACTCTAGTAATGATGAGTATATTCGTAACATTCCATCACCTGAGGTCATTGTCATAAGTTCGAACGATGAGGAAGAAGTTAACGAGACCAAAACTTTAAATGTCGATGATGGTTCACATTATTAGCTATATTTAAATTTTCTACTTGCATCGAAGATTACATGTTAATTTATAACCATAATATTGTGTGTCCGATCAATTATTATAGTCGGATATTTTTTCTATTTTACTGCTTCACAATTTGCAGTTAATGAAATTTTATGTTTTGTTAAAAGTAGAACATTAATAAAAGCCACAACGGTAGTAACATGAAAATAACAATATAACATAAACAATAAACATCATTATTGTAATGTACAAAATACAACTTCAAGCCTTAAACATCATTCAACTTTTATGTGCATGGTGTTGGAATGGGATTCAAACATACTGCTCGATTGTGCCCAACTTGCCCCCATGCTACACGATAAACTCAGAGCATTACTCATGCCTTAAAATTCGAGATAACAATGATAAGCATGCGGCATAATTTATATATCGAATTTTAATATCATGCAAGTAACACCTATGAATAAATTATACCAAATAGTAACAAACCATTGAGATTGACAGTTTAAATGTCTTTCCCAACATTTGTTAAATGTCGAGTTCGACATTTTAATTGTCGATCTTCACATTCTAATTCGACAATTAAACTGTCGATATTTACGGTTAGCACTCGATGAAAAGATTATGAAATAAATTTTATGGATTTTGCTACATATACATCAAGCTTTAAATAATGGGGTTCATAATGTCACATGTATCACTTTATCATGTGTCAGTTTAAAATAAAGTCAACTTTTTCATCCAATCTTTTCTCTCCACAATATTTTATGTAATCTTTTATATACCATTTTTATGTGCAAATAGTATAATCAAATTTTTATTATTTATTTTTGGTTAACAATTCTATTATCCATTGTATATTAGATATATTCATAGATTTTTCTTACACAAGTCAAACATCAAATCATGACATTAAATTGCATTAATGAGCAATAAAAGTACAAAAAATGTATCTACAGAGGTAATTTGAACATTTTGCACCAAAAAAAAAAGGACTTTTTAGCACATTTTGAAAAAAAGTGTTTTTTACAATTGATAATGTATAGACATCTAGCAAAATTCCCATTAATACATACTATTTGCAGAGAATATAAACTATAAATTAACTCAAAATCTTATCTTCAAGGCTTTCGTATTTGTTTACAAAATTCATTTTTAACTACATATTCTCTCATAAAATAATTTTAAACGTAAATTTTAAATTCCTGTTTTTTAACGACACATTATCCAAAAAATCACTATTTCAAAACACATTCTTCCCAAAAAAAAAATGAGGGTCTCAAATGCGATTAATTGTCTATTAATGATATAAATATTTTTCTTAAAAAAGGGATCATCATCGAATGCGAACAATTCTGAAACAGTTAGTGAAATTAATCTCCATGCAGGTTTATCAGTCCTTTCTCTTTTATCAGTTAATAAGATAGCAAAATTTAGAGTGTGACGATGAACGTTATAGAGCATAGAACAGGAAATCACCCTGGCCACAAAATTTTCATGTCTCAACTAAGCTTCCACATATGGAGTTGTGTATGGATCGTAAATTTGCATGACTAAATTTCCGGTGCTCATCACATCCGCATGGAACAGATCTGTTGCTTAACATTTGTAATGAAATTTGTTTTAATTTTTATTTTTTTTCCTCTTATGCTTCCTAAAACTCTGCCTCCTCTTTTTCTTTTTCCTTTTTTTTTTATTTTAACCCGTCCCATCTAAGGAGAAAGGTTGTGGTAGTTTGGCAGAGATAGTCACTGTTTGACAACTATTATTTGAAAATTCTTTTTTCTACGTCCTCATTTTCAACTACACATTCATACACTAAAATATTCTGTAATAAATTGAAAATCTTTTTTCTACTTTTTAACCACGCATTCTCTAAAAATCACTATTCAAAACATTGTTTTGACCAAATAATGGCCGCTAAATCTAATGACATGAACCCTAATACACATTGTGTCCCTTTAGCCGATCCCAAATTTATCGGGGACAAATTGATATGACACGCAGATAATCAACAGGACAACATTTTTGTCTGAGTAGTTGCAGAGAAAGATACGGCTAACAAAAAGGCCACAGAGAAATCTATCCATGGCAAATGTAAAAAATTATAGGCCAGAAACTCTCTGATTCAAATTTACCCCAAACAATTAGATGACAACTCATTTTATTCTGAAAGTAACAAACAATCAAAATTTACTACTGAAAAACAAAACAAAATCCCAATACTTTGTCCAAACGTTATATATATCAAGAAGAGAAGGTCGTTAACTATTGCTCTTCAATTTAGAATTCACTTATGACCCTAATTTACATTTCCTTTGATTATCTAAGGAATGGACAGAGTGAGTCCATGATTCATGCACAAGATTATAACATTTTGAAAGATGAATGCAATGAGATTATGCATAGCCTTATCCTTATTATACGCTTATTATGAGGCAAATGAAGAGGAATTGCAGAAAACACAAGAATCAAGCATTATTTGTTCAATAATGCTTCCTTCTTCAACCTTAAACCCTCTGCTCTGCTTATTCCAGAGATGCACTGTGAAACTTTGGCTCTGAATTTGCTCGAGCTTTGCAATCAACCATTTCGAGTGAGTCTCATTCCTCGGCCCCTGGAAAAGGCTGCCAATCCTGCTCCAATAAACCGGATAAAAAGCCATAGGTGGCAGCACTGTAAAATTGTAACCAGGCCTCCCAGTGATTCTTGAAACAACCCTTGAAACCAAATAAGGTCCATTGTGTCCCCATTTATTCCCATCAAATGTGAGTGCAAATTCTTCAATAAACTTGTAAAGAAGTGGATGGCCCTGATCAAAGATCATGACAGCATTATTCAATCTGCTCCAATTTCTTGTTTCAGGATTAATAGTCTGAGCCCCAATTGTATTTCTTAGCTTCTTAAAACTCTTCAATACTAGAATATCAGTGTCTAAATAAATCCCACCAAATCTGTACAATAACCCAAGCCTAAGTAAATTTGAGAGGTTCTGGCCTAAAGAGACCTCTCCAGGATTCACATTTCCTTGCATTAACTGGTTATACCAAGCCTGTGCAGCAGTGTTATTGAACAAATAACTGAAATCAGGAGAAATTGCAGTCACTTTGAATCCCTTGCCCAAAAAGGGCTTCAAAATCTGCATCCCAGTTCTTGAATCCATTGAACTGGATACTATAATTAAGCAACCATTTGGATGTGTTTTGAATAAACTCTGTATGGTAAACAACTCTCTATCCCCAAAAGACTCTAGTGAAGAAATCCAGGTCATGAAAAATCGCAACTTACAAGAAAAATTCAGTGGATTAGCATTGAAGAATTCCTTCACTCTAACTGAAAAAGGCTTCACTTTGAACCCACGACCGTGTTTTCTTCTCCTTTTTGGATGATACACCACACTTGTGTTCACAAAAGCAACCAAGTTTGCATTTTTAAGTAAAAGGGGAAAATGGGTTTTCAATTTCCCAAAGGGGCGCTCTTCTTTTACAGATGATGAGAGTTTTATTGAAGAAGACAGAGAGAAGAACGATTTTGATTTCCCGGGGACAGTTTCCGGCGAAAAACTGGCAGGCTCGGGCGAATTCTTGGCCGGAAAAGGAGCGTGGGTATAGAATGTGGCACTGTTATAAGCTAAAAGGCAAAGCAAAAGAAGAGAAACAAAAGCATAGAAAGATTTCTTGGTCCTTTGCAGATGGTAAAGAAACTGAACCAGATAATTACTGGCTAGTTCCATGGCAGTTTCTGGAAATTAAAAAAAATTACTTTTTGGGGTTTTCACTGTTCAAGATTGAGGCTTTATTCTTCTCAGTAATAAAGAAGCACAAAGAAAGAGGGGGAGAGAGAGAGAGAGAGAGAGAGAGAGAGAGAGAGAGGAGAAATGCGTTTTTGTTTACATTCGTGAGGTGGGGTGGCGGCAAAAAAAAAGCACGAAAATTGAAAAGTGTTCTTTTAGGAAGAAAGTAGTGGTGGGGGCGTCGGGTGGCTCAGGAAGAGAGTTCATGGAAGGAAACTGTTAAAATTGTGCGTATTTTGGACACATTTGGAACAGATTGAGCCAACATGCAGTGTTGGAATGTGGACAGTGGGACATAAAAATTAGGAAAAAACTCTTTTGCCAGAATTTTTTTACTCGCTTGGTTGACACTCACTCACAAGCATGAATCCCGCTTAAATAAAAAATGCAGAAAAAAATGGAACCCACCTCCTATTGTGAGTATCGACCTTACTTTTGCCAGAATTTTTTTACTCGCTTGGTTGACACTCACTCACAAGCATGAATCCCACTTGAATAAAAAATGCAGAAAAAAATGGAACCCACCTCCTATTGTGGGTATCGACCTTACCCTCCCTATCACAGTAGGATGGTTGTAAAAATTAATGAAAACAACTGCTTGCCGAACGAAGATTGGGCAGTCAGGCTTTTTCAATTTGTACCTTACTGGCATGACTTTTTAACACAGTCCAATGCCCATTGCCTCGTTTAAACAATAGAAAAAATTACTGCATTATTCATTTTGAGGTACAGGTTACCAATGCCACAAATTAATTTATTCAGGTCAGTGATTTCATAAATCAAGTTTTAAGTGATCAAGTATTAAAGTCGTTACAACTTCAACAATAATGAAGGAAATTTGTGATGAGAATGATCGCACAGAAGAATAAAAAATTAATCTTACTTTTACTCGTTGACATTTTATAATCAGCGTTGCTCTTTGGCCTAACCATGGACAACTTTTTATCCATAATTTTAAACACTTTGCTCGTCACTATGATAATTGATATAGTTTTGGAGGGGTGTACATAAAAATGGATATGCATGGTTTAATTTATGAGTTATGTGTATATAAATAAAGAAAAACAAAGGCACAAGCCTATTATGAAAAGAGAGATAATAGAAGAAAATATAGAGAAATCAACAGATTTATATGTATTTTATTAAGAACCAAAGCCCTATAATTTTAGGGAAGAATTAGGAATACGAAGGTAATAATTTCTAGGGCTGTAGAGTACAATTGTTATTCACTAATAAGCTTATCATTTACAACATTCCTCTTTCAATGACACATTACAAAATATATTTCTCGTTAAAAAACATCGTTTGATAAAAATCCAATGGGACAAAAGAATCAAATGAAAGAAAAAGAGTACAATGGAACATCGATATCCTCATTTTTTTAAGCTTATGTGTATGAAAGAATTTTGGAGAAATATGTTTCGTCCTATCACTTTTGATATGGCATCTTTTAAGTTGTGTAATACAAGTTACATTGTTTTCATATAAAATTTTTGGAGTATCTTTTGTCGAAGTTAACCTACATGATGCTTGGATTTGATGGGTCATGTTCCTCAATCATCATACACATTCTCGGCCTGTTTCACGGATTGTAATAATTTCAAAATAATTTGATGATATTGTTTTCAAGAATTGCTTCACAGATCTCTATGATATAGTCGTCCCTCCTCATGTAAATACATATCCTGCTTGTGTTTTAGTTTTATGTGAATCAGAGAGATAACTTGCATTTTCATATCCCACTAAAGCAGATTCCGACTTTTGAGAATATAATAATTCCAAATTAACAATGCCATTTAAGTAACGAAAAATTCATTTAATACCATTCCAATGTTTTTGAGTTGGTGTAGAGCTATATCTTTCAAGGAATTTTATAGAAAAACTATATCGGGTCAAATGCAGTTTGTGAGATAAGTTAATATTCCAATTGCACTGAGATATGGTATTTCAGGACCAATAACATTTTCTCCATCTTCAAATGGACGAAATGAATTATTTTTCTCATCAAATGATGGAACAACCATGAGTGATGACAATGGACATAAAAAATATTTTAAAACTTTTCTAATATGTAGATTGATGAATAAATAATCATTCTGGGAAGTATTCAATTTACGACTCAGGACAAAATTTGTCCAAATCTTTTATATCAAATTCAATTTTCAAATAACCTGTAGTTTTAATGAGTTCTTCAAGAGTTCCAATTAAATTTAAATTATCAACATAAACTACCACAATTGCAAATCTAATATTTATTTTCTTTATGAATACAGATGGGCAATTATCATAATTTTTATAGCCTTCTTTCAACAAATATTCGTCAATGCGACTATGCCACATGCATCCATTTATTTGATCAATAATTACTTTGATCGATATATTTCGATGCATTTATTTTGATTCCTCGCTATATGATGCAGTGTATTATGTGCAATATTGTTGTTGACAATTTTTTCTTTCCGATTTTATTTCTTTTTCCATAATTACATAACTTATTGAGATATCCCAAGTTTCATTATTTTAGGCACTTGAACCTTTTCTGAGGTTTTATAATTTGTTTATGTATAAATACTTATCAAACGTATATGCCTCCTTAATGAAACCATTTTTGCTAATTACTCCAATTTTTTTTTTAAATTTTTTGTATTAGAATCGAACATCATCACGTTTCAAGCATATCATAGATATATCAAATATAATGCTAATAAATTGTCCTAATAGGATATCCATTCGTGTCGGAAAATTTAAAACTAGTGTGTGAGATATTGTTTATCTCTTTAATCAATAAATGCATTTAAATAAATTATCTTTCAAACTTCTGATTCAAATGAAATTTTGCGTGGATTTAGATAATGATACATTTATATATTATTTTCAACTTCTTAATTCCTCCCTTAATGAGAGATTGTCCAATCAAATAGAATTCAATTTTTCAGCATTGTAAAATATTGTCCATTTGTGATAAGGGTTCAAACTATACATTTATTCCCAACATTCTTTGTTTTCTATTTCAGTGCAGTATGATGGTTCAATTTTTAAATAAACTGCTTTATCAAAATAATTAGATGAAAAAATAGACTTTAACCATAAGCCAATTATAATATGAAGAACTATGATTTTGGCATGATGCGTAATATAATTCTCTAAACAAAAGTGGAAAGTACTTTTTTTTTTTCAATTAAATTAATTGGAAGCATTTAACAAACAATAGTGTTAAACCATTTATCAACATCACAATTAACACTTATTAAAATATTGAGATATATGCCCACTAGCATTAACAAGACATGGCATTGATTATATAATATAAAAATTATACTCATAATTTAAAATTTGAGCAGTAATTTTGCGAACTTCAGGTTGCGAACACCGTGCAATCATCTACTATATGTATCAAATCTATTAAATACAAATAATATTTAGATGGTCAATTTGGAGGATGATGGGCCACATTTATCACCCTAATTAATTTTTAGAAATATAGTAAATCCAATCTATTTTAACTAGTGAAGGTTAACGAAAAATTTTAATAAAAGAGAACAAATATCATATAAGATTGAATTGAAGAATCTTATGATTTTTCATTGAATATCCATTGAATTTTTAATTTCACATAATTATTAATCCAGTGGTGATCGAATTGGTCATACCAAAAAATAAAGTCAAATTAAAATTTTTTTCAATATAAGATATAATTCGATTATTTAATTTCAAAAAATACGATTAAAACTTATATAATCATATATCATTCAAATAGTCAAAATAATTAATGTCGTCATAACATTAGTTATACATTTTCCTTCAATGATATACATAAATTCAAAATGATATATTATTCGAAAATGTACTACTTTGAGAGCACATTATCTTTAATTATTGTTTTTCAAGAACAATATGTTTTTATTCTTCCAAAATATTAAAAATATATAATTCATGCTCTTCAAGAGCAAATAATATTTTTCAAGAATATTAATTATGATATTGTGCTACTTCATGGGCAACAACGTGATAAATTATTAATTTAGGGTTTACAGAAGAACATCTAAAAATATTTAATTATCATATAGGCATGATACAAAAAAATGTATGAATAAAATAATCTTCCAAGCATACATGTGAATTGACTTTTTATATAAACATACAAATATGACAAAATAATCATTATGTATATAATGTAATAATCATTATAAATTTGCATACAAGCAAAAAAGCATAGAAGTAGAAGAAGCAACCTCACTTTCTTACATATGTATGTAGAAAAATTCACGTGGTACATGTGATAGATGATTATGCTTAAAAAAAAATTATTACCTCATTAAACTTTGAAAAATTAAGCTTTCGTAAAAAGAGATAGAATAGACAGAAGTCAATAACTTTTGTGTATTTTATTAACAATCAAAATACTATATTTATATAGAAGAATCAGGAATACAATAGTAATAAATTTTAGGGGCTGTAAAAGTACAATTGTCATTCACTAATAAACTTACTATTTACAACACAGGTGACAATGTTGGAAAGTGGTAGTATTTTGCCATAATTTGAGTAAAAGCATTTATTCTTTTTGGAATATCAAAGTAAATTCGTGTTTTCCTTACTGATAAAATTGAAATCATACATTTATTTGAGAAAAATGAGGTGCACTTAGATGAAAAATCGAAGTTCAAATTGTGCCTGTTGGAAGTGATTTGGATGATAATGGAAAATCAATTGTTGCTTATCTCACAAAAATTTAAAATAAAATATATTGATAAAGGCAATTACAAGTTTATATAAAATCACATTTTATGAAATTTTAATCATGTGTAGTATAGAGATATTTTTTTATATAAAAGTACAAGGATAGCGAAATCACTGATAGGATTAGCACCCCAGGCCATTGAACTTGTATGCAATGATATCTGTGAACACGAATGTTGAATTGGAATTTGGACCCTTAGTAAGGTCCATGTTTTGCCTTTTATTTTCCTGTTGATTTTATTTATTCTCAATTGTACTTTCAACATCTTCAACTCCTAAAACTTTAAAGGTTAATTGCCTATTTCAATATATTATAATTGGCTTGTTAATGGGTGAAATTAATTCACCATACCTCGAGCCCGCAACAAAAGTTGATTTTTCTTAGTTCCACACACGAAGTAAACTTTTATTTTTTAGTCCTAAATATTCCATTGGTTAACCTCAAAACTTTTCA